TCTTCACTTATTTATGTTAAATATTTCTCGGTTCATTTTCAATTAATATTGTTTATTTATGTCGCCTAAAAAAGACTGACTTCCTACATATACTGGTTATTGCAATTAATTTAATTTCATTACATATGTCTCGGTGGTTGAATTGGTAAAATGCTCGCACAAAATTTGGGAGATCTAGGGCACATATTATGGAATTATTCCAAATGAATTCCGATCGGAATTATTCTGTTTTCCCTTAAAAAACGCAAAGAGATATAGGGAATTATTGAATAATTTCGAGATTGGAATCCAATCCGAATAATTTCACAATATGTATTCAGGTTGAATCTTGGTTGAAGTGATATTTTTCTCGATAAATTATTTATTTTATTTTAATAAAAATACTTATATTAATTTCAATATTATTAAATTGCTTGTCAATTTAATGTGTGATTTTACGTGCTTTTAGTTTTAGTTTAATAACGAATTTGATTGGATACACTCAGTGCGTACTAGTATATATTAAAGCTGTTTTACACAAATTGATGTAAAAATATGTGTAGATATAAAAACGGATTAAACGGATGAAATTTCCAATACATTTTATTGTGCTGTTAAGTAATATGTGTATTTTATAATTTGAAAGTTTGCATTTTACTTTTACATAGTTTAAATCAATACATTAGCTTTAATATACGCTAGTGTGTTCAACCGAATTTGAGTTGTATTTCGAGACCGACTCAACCGAAATAATCGGTGCGCCGTTTGTTTGAACGGGGATTTTCACTAAATATTGTTTAATATTCAAAATAAATAATTAATCACTACCTTTTAGTATTAAATTTTTATAAAAAATATTATATTATAGAGGAAAGGCCCCTATTATGAGATACCGAGTTTATTTTGGGTAAATGCTAGAAATCTACGGACAGAATTTTAAAAAATAATGAATCATTTTGAAGGAAATTTAATAAGCTTTAAGATAATGTTATGTAAAATTTAATTCAAATTTTATTTTTTTTTATAAATTAAAAAAATGTGAAAAGTGAGCAAATCGCAAAGTCAAAAAATTGTGCTCCTAATATGAGATGTCCCGAGAAATCGATAATAAAATGCATAGTACATCAGTTGCAATTAAAAAACTTTATTTAATGTTTCTAAAATACAAATAAACACAGCCAGTGTACGTGCAAAATGAGTATGCAATGCATTGTACCTAGCTAACTCGTCTTCAGGTAGTTGGAACCGAGCATCGCAGAAACAGGCACTCTATGTCCTTTCGATTATCCTTTTTATTACTGTACAATATCATTTATACTTTAGCAACAATTTTCACTATGACATAGGAGCATAGGTTATTTCATATTAGAAATACCCTGGGTATTTCATATTACGATTTTCACATCTTACGGTTTTACGATCATCAAATCTAACTTCTGTAATTAAGCAATTCAACATATCACGTATTTTTCTATTAATACGATCTTACTCTATCACCACATGAAGTATTTATTGCCAAATATTTACTTATTAAATAATAAACAAGGTTTAAAAGCTTATCTCAACAAAACTTGAAGACATCCAAATTCTAAAATCTTTTTTTGCAACGACTACAGGCACGATCTAATAATGAATTTTCAATTAAATAGTTTTCAATCTAAGAACAATAAATTCATAGTGGAATCAATAGATAGCGTTTATTAGTTTAATGGAAACGCCGCTATCTCATATTAGGCGCCTATCTCATAGTAGGGGGCTTTCCTCTACTAGTCAAGCAAAAATTCATAATTATTATTGTCAACGTATTTGATACAATTAAAATTATTTGATGTATTATTGTTTTTTATTATGATTTATTATCATACATCATAAATTGATTTTTTTAAAGACTTTGTAGAATATACTTTTTAGTATACATATATACAAGTTAAAAAACGACAAAACTAGAAAATTTTGAATCTAGGTTTCTACGTTACATTCGTACCGCGTGCGTTGATTATACGAGAGATATTCCTTGATCATAAAGATAAAAGTGAACTGTCGTCATATATCTCGTAATTGAAATTAAGCCCCAGTTTTACGGTAATTTATATTTCCGCACTGATTTACTTCATAATTGAAAGATTTATAAAATTATTACACTTGTATGTAACACGTAAAAAATAATAATTCGAGGAATTTTATTATTTATTTAAAGAATTATCATTTATCTAAAGTTATAAAAATAAAATAGCATGATATGTACAAGATATAATGGATGAGTTTATACTCATTATCAGAACGAATCATACATTTTGCTTTATGCAAGATTTAGGAGTTAGAAATTTCATCGGTGAATACTCGTTTCGCCATCACATTTGACTTACATGTCGATTATTGCTCAAATAAAGATCGCTGAACGCGATATTCATCATCACAGGATGTACAAATGTTATAAGTACGCATTATTTCACAATAATACATGCTATTGCACCGCGGAAGCAGGAATTTTATTCCATTTTCTACAATATCTATACTTTCTATAGTAAGAACCGTTAATGCCATTTAATTCCCTCGCGATTATTACACAATTTCAAGTGCGAAAGAAATTTTATAGCCATTGATTGACCGCGCCAAACCAGTGAAAGAAATTTGTCTTCCGTATAAATTATTACGAATGGTGCCTTATTTACCGAAATATTTCAGATAATCAGTGCGGAAATATAAATTACCGTAAAACTGGAGCTTAATTTCAATTACGAGATATATGACGATAGTTCACTTTTATCTATACGATCAAGGAATATCTCTCGTATAATCAACGCGCACGTTACGAGTGCAATGTAGAAATCTAGATTCAAAATTTTCTAGTTTTGTCGTTTTTTAATGAAAGTAAATCGCTTGCAATATTATAATTATGATATTTACAAGCTATGAACTATGAAATGTTCGGTGTACTGCACTTCGAATTTATCGCGTCCGGGATAAAGCAAAAAGTATGTAATTATGTTCAATGTAATGCTATCACAATGATTGACTATCAACAAAGTAAAAATTTATACAAGAAATATATTTCCTCTATGACTTAATTCTTAAATTTTTTTTGAAATATCCTGTTTATCTTTGAAATAAATTAATTAGTTTTTATAATAATTTATTTAGTTTTTAAATAATTCAATCTTTAATTTTGATTTCAGAAAACTAAAAATAAAATAATAGTATAAAATATTTAATATACCGAAATTGTATTTAAGGTAAATGATGCATTACATATCGGGATAAAGCAAAAAGTGAAGATCAAAACATGTTGAAATTGCAATAATGAATTTAAAGCAGTCCTTAAATTAACTTGCTGATTTTTTAATTTATCAGCGTGAGATCGCAATAATATCGCGTGTATATGCAATATGAAGACAAGAGATTGTTATCTCATTCATATTATTATATTTATACAACATCGACATCATGATGTGGTGAAACTGTATTATATGATGATGCTTGAGTTCATTGACTCTGTAAGAAGAAATGTAAGGTCAATAGATTGGATCATTGAACACAAAGTTACAACACTTCTGGTTTCAATGACTCTGACAAATAATTGTGCTCTTAGCGAAGTCCGAGTTCTCTGTATAATAAATGGGTCGGCCATTTTCACGCGAAGGAGATTAGTCCACGACGACGACGTGAGAATCGCGATATAATTCCATTTCAGATATGGTAACGTTTCTCACAGCATGATTGCATACGCCGCGACGTTTATTGCTGTACTTATTATTACGTGGTTCATTTTCAGAACGGAAATGCCACTGGTCAGACAGCTAGTGATCGGTGTGAACGATTGCGAGCATTTATTTTAATCGTGTGAATCTATTTTTACTCGTCATCATGTTTTGCTCCATATAACATGCGTATTCTATCATATTTAAAAAATTAAAAAGATTTTAATGAAAGTAATAAAAATTTTTATAAAAATGAATTTGCGCGCAATTAAGACGATATATACGTGGTCTGTAATTAACCCTTACCGTACTAATATGGGTAACTAGTGACCGAGCGATTCCTGTTCATGCAAGTTTCTTTGAGTCTTTCGGTAATTATAAATTATACTACATTTTATTATTTTCCAAAATAAAGAGTCAATATTTATTCTAGAAAGTTGAAAGTATGTTGGTGAATTTTTAGAGATTTTTTTTATTATTTTGAAGAGGTGAAAAAACGAAGAGATTCGAAGTGACCCTTGATGGTATGGATAAGGCACCAAATTGTAGATGGCATAGTAAGGGTTAAAATCGTTCTCTCTCTATTTCTCTCTCTCTCTCTCTCTCTCTCTCTCTCTCTCTCTCTCGATTTCAACTAGAGATGAATAATTAATAATTACAAGTATTTTGATTAATTTTATAGGTATTTATGCAATTGCATGAAAATATAAGAATAGACGAATATAAGTATGATAACATTTTTTACAAATTTAAAATTATAACGTTCTTTTTCAATGAATACTTTTTATGAAACTAAATACAAAGTGTGATAATTTCTGTCAAGCTTTATTTAAAAAAAATATAATTATTATTTCTGCAAATATTTATATAAATATATATATATATATTTATTAGTAAAAATTATGTGTGATATCGTTCGTTAAGTATAAGGCATTTATCTCGATAATTGTTTATTAAACGTGTTAAATGATTTAGTAATTTCTAAAAATAAATCATACTAAAAATAAGAATATTTTTAATGAAAAATTATTTATTTCTGGAAATTACTAAATCATTAATAAAATAATATCATAATTATTCTGAATCTAATCACTGAATCACGTTACAGTATTGCATAAGTAATATTTAAAAAATGATAAAAGAAAATTCAAGAAATTACAATTTCTTGAAACATTCTTGTGTTCGTTGGGAATCTATCTTGATGTCAAGACTTACAAAGCCAGTAGTGCCTCGCATACTTGAACACGGTGTGCTACTTCGTGCACCGGGAAATGTTGTTCAGGGGCAAGATACTCACGCGTAAAAAGAAATCAGTACACAATATTTATGCAGATATACTTAATAATTTCATAACTTATACATATATAATTTACACATTGGACCTTTTAATACTTTCACATGTAAACTCATAATGATATTCATAGAGTAGGAAATTATAACTTTCTTCGCGACGTCTAGAGATAATTACGTTGGAGCTTTGCACGGTACTCGTTTTGCCATGATGGAGATATTCACCACTTTATTTCGTACAAACGCTGTTTCGATTTATTCAACGCACTTCGGGATTTTCATTGCTCCTGGCATTGACTAAAACCGTTTAGAAACGCTGCGATCTTCACCTTGCACGATGAAAGTTAGCCAAGGATATGGATGATCATAAACGTCCAATTTTCCGCTTGGCCGTAGTTTAGTGGTTTGCAAAAGCGCGTGCCTGGATGATGAAGAAGGAACGCTCTCTCTGACGGGCGTTGCCAATTGCGCGGCTAACAACCAGCCTCCGAGTGCCCATCTTCATTACCAGCTCCGGTTGCCTTAATCGTCGCCTCCCGTCATGACTTCCATAAACTCTGAAAGTGCGCAAAACGCGGGCGTTAGCGTAATCAGGCGGCGCCTCGCATTTCCCGCGGGCTACAAACTTGGCGAACCACCCAAGGCGGGAGACTTATTGAACGTTCGATCGACTTTGCTATTAGTGCGGTTATGTTAAGTTTCGCTGACGTTGACATGCACGAAACGAATTTACTTGGCTCGCTTCGTAACTTAAGCACGTTTTAAATTAACTACTTGGCTTACGAAGCGTGTCACATATTATCGTATCTCGCAAACAAATGTGACGATAAGGTGACTTATCCTTATTAGTGTCGTGAAAAATTATACCGTATGATGTTAAGTGCATCTAGAGAATTTATTAAGTATATTATTTTTAACGCCATAAGATTTCGATTTTTTTAAAAATGCGGTATAATTTTTCACGACACTAATAACGATAAGTCATCTGATAGGATTATAATATCGAATTGAATAAAAGCTTTTTATAATCTAGCATACTTAATGATATCAATTTTGAAAAACGTAAAAGATAGCGTTATATTTTATTAAACTAATTTGAAATTTTTGCTTCAAAAATTTACTAATAAATTCAAAATAAATCTTTTTAATAAATTAATATGTGAAATTGTGTTAGTTTTAATTACTGATATTTAATTGTTTCATTATATATGAATATGTTTTGTTAAAAAATAAACTTTGATATTTTTTAATAAAAAAGAAATATTAAAAGTCCATCTAAATAATGGCGTTTTAATTTTCGAGTTTAATATAATCAACGCTGCAAAATGATAAAAAAAAGATAGTAAAAATACCGTCAAAATCAAGCGTTCCTGACCCATCAGCGTCGATTTCTTCAATCATTAGGTCAAGTTCTTCTGGTGACAGCTTGTCGTCGAGTTCGTGAAGGATATCGCGAAAAACAGCGGTAGTTATGTAGCCGTTGCCCTCTTTGTCATACAACCGGAATGCCTCGCGTAATTCTTGCTGCATCGCTTCCGTATCTTCTTCTACCAAGAATCTAGCAGCCAGCGTACAGAATTCTTCAAACTCGAGTTCTCCGGAACCTAGAAAAATATACAACCAGTAGAAAGATATATGTATTGAAAAACCGTTAAGAAAATATAATCGACGCAAGATCAACAATTTTACTTACCATCCTCATCGACTTCACTAATGATTTCCTGCAGCGTGTTTTCGCTGAGCTCGTGACCCAACATGGTCAATATTGTGCCTACCATATTTGTACCGATACTGCCCTTCTTTTGCTGATCGAAAGCATTGAAGGCATTCTTCAGCACTGTAAAACACAGAAAAATGATAATTTTATATTATTCTAAATGTTTTTTATTATTATAAAAATATATACTTACGAGCTATCTGGTCCTTATTTAGATCTTCCTGAAAATATAACAGATATTTAATTATAATTACACAGACTGTTAATTTACAAATATAAAATTTTAGTAATATAAAATTTAAATAAATTTACGCAAAAAACAAATTAATTTTTAGTTATATCTGCTATCAATGTTTAAGCTTGCATGCTTATTGAATTATCGTTTCTATTTAATTTAATGTACGTTGAATTGTATTATTATGAGTTTTATTTGTTCATTTAATTTTTACACTTTTTGCTATGAGAATGTTAAGATTTGACAAATTATTTCCGCGTTTATCGAAAGTATAGAACTTGCCATTGCGATGATAACTATACGCGCTACTCGTGGTACGTTGGTTTAGACGGTTTATCCGGGTCTGCACCAGATTCTGACGGTAGACTTCTGTTTTAAGTGATTTTAACGATCTTCTGGCACGTGATTGACCAGGTAATACCTACATCCCAAGTCTAGCGGTTTTCAAATTCATCGAGGACGTCCTCCCCACTCTATTTTCTTAGACACGTTTTACCTAATTATGCAGAACTCGCGGCAACACGTTTAATTTAATTTCAAAAATCTTCCACGCTAGTCATACGTTCAATTTATCAACAACTGTCCCAAATATTATGACATTCCTACATGACAAAATTAATGCGAACATATCGCACGCGATTCGTCTTGATGCAAATTATTAATTATGGTGCGAAGCATATAACATCTAGTTACAGGTGTATCAATTATATTAAAGTTCATTTTAACGAAACATATTTATAATGAAACGGTTTAAATTTATCAATAACTGAAATAAATAATTTCATATATTAATTTATTAGAGATTTATTATACATGTTAAATTTATTGATAAATTTTCATAATTTTTTATAAAAATTGTTCTGTTATTTATATGGTATTATATGCAGAAAAATACACCATCTATTTCCAGGTTCATAAATAAAGATAAATTTCTTTATATTTTATACATTAGATGTATCAGAATTATTTCTATTATATCATTGATTTAAAAAAAGTTTTTTTATATAAGCTGGCCTAAATTATGTAATATATTATGTTATAATTTAAAAATACACTACATAAATAATTATTTTACTTGATAGGTAATCACGATAAGCTTTTGCTCAAAACTAACGAAATTTTTACTCAATTTTTACATTGTTTTTATCGAAGCATATAAAGATGCAAGTTTTGCTAGTTTTTATAATTTTAATTCACAATTTCTTAATCAATTCTTTAAATTTTTTTTATCGTTTGAAATTTTCCGACCAGACCATCACCAAGATATTTATGATTAAAGCTTGCTCCATTGTTGAGACTGCACGTTGAGACAACTAGTTTATTATGAAATGTAATGTCTGAACGGCAGAATTTACGAGCGACATAATGTGTGACTGTGTGGATGCAACAATAGACAGAATTGGCTCACCGCCAGAAAATTCATGGGTGATGCTGACCCAAGACGATTGCAATAATTGTGCATGTCTTATTCTTAGACTCCTAATTATAAACTCATAAAGCCCGGTGTCTGCCATTATATTTAGGCGATTTTACCGTTCATTCCGGAATATGCAGTCGCTTGCCATCGCATGCATTGTTGAATTTCTCGATACATGTGCCTTCTCTACTTCTTTGACAAAAGTTTACAATAGGTTACATTTCTGTTAGAGAATCGTGCGTATAATGCCATAGTTGAAGCATATGAAGCACGTGCTACAGTCGCTGCCAACACGCGAGCTTATATTTTCCAATACTATATAGACTTCTTGCATTGATGATAATAATAATTCTTTACAATAGTAAACAATTACAGAGAGTTGCAGAAGTACATGCATTTTTTTGTGATCATAGCAATTGTATTTAGAAAAATGACAATGTTCTTATCAATATTCATATTGAGACATTAGCATTTTTAAACCACAATTCGATATTATAAAAATTTAATAAACAGTATTAAAATTTTATTTTTTTATTAATTATTATAAATTTCTTTTTAAAAATAGTAAAACTAATAAAAAAAGTAGGTTTTACTTTTACATCTATTGCATTATTATATTTCCTCAAAATTTAAAAAGTTAAAGAACAATGATATTTTATTAAAGTTTGATTAAAAGAAATACATACATCTGCGATCGTTTTGAGGTTTATTGTTTTGTACATATTTTTGACACAATTGATTTTTATTAATTTAATTTAAGAAATTATGTTTAAAAGTTGTAATACCTTAAGTATATATACATTTATTATATATGTACATATAATTATGTAGGCAAAAGACATTATAAAATTTCGATATTTGATTAAATTAACAGCTAATGGGAATTCAGTGTCAAAATCACAAAGGATAGCAATTTTGCAATCTTAACAAATTAATAGCATTATGAATTTAAAAATACTAATAATTATCATTATTATACTTAAAGTATTATTTCAGAGATTCCAAAATCTCTCTTGTTACACACATTTGCTATACGCAATTATATTTATATATCATAAATGTATATATATTCTATGAATATACATATTAAAATTCTTTAAAATTTATTCTTGAGCATCATTCATCGAAACTCCTGGCTAGCAGGATTTAATAAAAATATAATTTTATGGCGACCTATTCTCATATATGATAAACGAGCAAATTTATAGTCTGCCAGCTTCGACTTCGTAGAGATTTCGGCTTCTCTGTTTGTACAGGCACACTCGTTGTTTGATGCGTGGGCGATCGACACGGTGCATTTGCGTGGTGCCAAAGTCATAATTTATCCTGTCATGACCTCCATGAATTCTGTAACGTGAAAACCAGACTAGTCAGATATGCGTAAACGAAGACAGAGTGGATTAACACCTGTGCATCACGTAAGATCTCACCATCGTAATCAAGCGTGCCAGATCCATCAATGTCCACCTCCTCTATGATCATGTCAAGCTCCTCTGGAGATAATGCGTCGTCCAATTCATGAAGGATATCTCTAAACACTTCAGTAGTGATATAACCATTACCTTCCTTATCGTACATACGGAATGCCTCTCGTAGCTCCTGCTGTATCGCTTCAGTATCAGTGTCCTCTTCAAGAAAACGCGATGCTAACTGGCAAAACTCTTCAAATTTTAACTCACCAGTTCCTATAAATGGAAATTAGTTTGATATCTATTATTAGTCTCTGTTTTATTTTAATACTTTGTTCATTGTGTGTGTGTGTGTGTGTATTTTCAAATATATTGTATATTTAAAAAGTAATTTTCTCTGAAACTTTTTGGCAATAAATAACTTTTGCGAATTTTTGGACATGTTCTAAATATAATACAAAACTCAATAATGTTATTTGGGTAAAAGTTTTGTTCGACAATTTGTTTAGAGTGAGCATGTTATGAAATATCATTAATGTTTAAAAGGATATTTGGAGACCTTAGAAATTTCATGCATTTTTTGAGCAGTTATTATACTAAACAGTTATACCAACTTCTGTCTAATAACTGAGAAGGAAAATTATTTAGGATCCTAACCAGGATGTAATGCTTTGTTTGCAGTTACTGCATACAAAAGTGGCATAAAATCGCTGAATCCGTTTATTGAACAGAAACACAACAAATAATGGATATTAAATTGATTAATAAACAAGCTAACTGCTCATGAAATGAACAGAATAAAACTTATCAAGTTCTTGTCCATTTCCTACTCAGGACAACTAATGAGAGAATACAATAATATTAGATAGTTACTGGATAAGTGTCTAGGAAAACTGCATATATTTCTACCAGAGGAGTGTGATTCCTCTTTCAATTAACTTTTGTATATCGATAATATTTACCCCATGTGTCAATCTCCGCAATAACTTCCTGGAGCTCTTGTGCTGGAATTTCGTGGCCAAGCATGCTTAGAATTGTATTTATCATGCTCGTGCTGATAGATCCTTTTTTATCAGGATCAAACGTGTCGAATGCCATTTTTAAATCTATTCAGAAAACATTTTTCTGAGTTTTTATATACTATTCATAGGTACACCAATTATAATCGCTAATAATAATTTTAAATTAGTCACATACTATTGATAACGAAAATAATGGTGCTTTAATATGCAAGTTTACTTACGAGACAATTGATCTTTACTAAGCTGAATTTCTTCCTATAATGGAATTAATATTATTAATAACGTAATTTAATAACGTAAATTTAATTAGTTCATATATTATTAGAATATATTAAAATATATAAAGCATTAAGAAGAATTCCGCGATTAGTACTACGTCATTAATTTAGACAATTTGTAGGTATTTGCTGATAAATTTACATTTAAATTACCATGTTGCTAAAATTCACTTTTTTTATGAAACTGTCGAATTAATTACAAAATCGAATGATTGACGCGGACGGGTTCCTTTCGGAAGCTAACTTACTCTACCGACGAAAAAGTTCTACTGAGCGGTAGTAAACTAATTAGCAGCGCAATACTATAGATACACAACCACAATCGATGTTAATAGATCAATCATGTATCGAATCGAACTCGCTAAAAAAAGACTTTTATTTAGGACACCTTCACGGCTGTTTCTTCACGAAACAATTAACTTGTTGAAGCAACTGCGAATAAACACTTGAGTTATTTTATTTGATGTATATCAAGATCTTTAATATTACATTACATTAGTAATTAATATAGGCACGTGCGTGTAAATAATGTTACTATTTATATAAAATTTTATTTAAAATATATATAGACATAATAGAATCAGATTTTTTATTTCTAAAAAATTATCGATATATCATTTAACAGATCTGTAGAAATTGTGAATATTCACATATTTTGGTTTTTTTTTTGATATAATTAATTTTTATAATTTAATAAAACTTGAAGTTTATGTAACTTAAGAATTATAATTATAAATTTAAATATTATTTTTATTAATATATTTATTATTTTATTATAAAAAGACATGTGCGTGTGTGACAATATTTAATTTTTTTAAATATATATGATTAATATTTGTTACTTGACTTGTGCATTCAGAGATGACATAATCTAGGGAGGAATTTGTAGCATATCTTTGATCTTAGATGTTATCTTTATATGACGTAGATGATAGTTATAGCGAATCGGTTCCCCCGCACCTACATAGCGAACTATTCGCGAACATGAAAGCAGTTATACATTGCATCGTATCGAACATATAGTGGTTTGGCATTGCATCCTTTTAGAGAATTGTAGTGGATTACTGACAGCTCATACGTGAAAAAATTATCTAGCAACTACCTTTAACCTCAATATATGTATGTTAATCTCTAGCAGCCAATCAGATAAAGCTTTGACGTTAAATCGAACTACTGATCTAACAGCTAAAAATAATTCTGGGATATCGCTTCATTATCATAATAAACAACTCATTGCAGATTACTAACTTTAGGATAGTTAAAAGCATCCGTTTCC